TTAAATTTGAGCAGGGATGTCCAACATTCATTGTAGCACTATTCACAAGAACAAAAGGTAGAAACAGCCCAAGTGTTCCTGATGGACGAAAACAAATGTGGTATATCAATATATTGTGGTGTTATTCACTTCCATCAAGTCAGCCCCATCTCATGGTGACACCATTCACAATGGAACAAAACGCTGCCTGGTCCTGGACCATCCCCATACCCAATTGTGGACCGTCATGACCCATAGTGTTTCTAGTGACTGATTTTCAGAAGCAGATGGCCAAATCTTTCTTCCTAGTCCATCTTAATCTGGAAGCTCTGCTAAAACCTGTTCAGCATCATAGCAACATGAAGCCTCCACTGATGGACAGCGTGGTGGCTGCACATGAGATGCACTGGCCAGAGCTAAACCCAGGTCTCCCAGCACGAATTCTACCACTGACCCCTAGTATATCCTTACACCAAACCAAAACCAAACCCACTGTCATCAAGGCAATTCTGATTCATAGCAACCCTACAAGACAGGGTAGAACTGCCACATAGGGTTTCCAAGGCTATAAATTTTCATGGAAGCAGACGGCCTCATCTTTCTCCCACAGAGTAGCCAGTGGGTTTGAACCACTGACCTTTTGGTTAGCAGCCCAATTCTTTAACCACAGTGCCACCAGAACTCCCTATATCCATATAAGGTAATATTATTCAGCCATAGAGAGATGAAATTCTGATACATGCTACAACATGAATGAACCCTGAAAACATTATGCTGAGTAAAATAAGTCACACACACAAAAGGATAAATATTGTATGCTCTCACTTACATGAAATACCCATAACAGGCAAATGCATAGAGACAAAAGTAAATTAGTGGTTGCCAGGGACTTGGGGGGTGCAGAGGGAATGGGTTATTGCTTGATGGGTACCGTCTGAGGTGACAAAAAGAAAAAGTTTTGGAAATAAATAGCGGTGATGGTAGAACAAAAGTGTGAATATAATTAATGCTATTAAATTGTATACTTAAAATAGTTAAAATGGCAAAATTATGTTAACCACAATTTAAATTAAAAAAAAAAAAAAAACTTAAACCAGCCGTTGCAACACATAGAGGACCTGCTAAAACACAGACTACAGGACCCAATCAGAGGTCCTGCTGAGCAGATGTGGGCGTGCAGCTCCAGAATTTCTATTTCTAACAAGTGCTCCAGTGCTGTGGTCCAGGAGCCACACTTCATGAGCCACAGATCGAACTGTGGTCAGTGAGAGGAGAGGTCCATCTGTGCCGAGGGACTTCTGGGAAAGGTTTCTTTCCGCATAAGGAGACACTAGAAGAGATAACCCTCTTCTTCCCCAGGACCATTTGTGATGGATATGCTCTACAGCTACACTGTCCAATATAGCAACCACTAGCCACATGTGAAAGGAGCTCTGGTGATGTAGTGGTTATGGTATTTGGCAGCTAACCTAAAGGTCGGTGGGTTGAACTCACCAGCTTCTCCGTGGAAGAAAGATGAGGTAGTCTGCTTCTATAAAGATTTACAGCTTTGGAAACTAAGTGGGGGTTGCTTTAAGTCAGAATCAACCTGATGGCAATGAGTTTGGTTTGGTTTGAGTCACATGTGGCTACTGAACACTTGATATATGGCCAATGTGACTGGGAAACTAGAATTTTTTATTTGATTTCATTGTCATTGATTTAAATTGAAACAGCCTCCTGTGACTAGTGTCAATATACTGGACATCACAGCTCCAGACACTTTCAGGGGATGGCTGTGACATCTGGAAGTGGTGGTACAGGCAACGTGTCATCAGCCTGAAAAGGAGACACCACACAGAGAAGGGTGGAGCCAGAAAAGGCACAGAGATGCAGAGTCACATCCTGACATTCTGGGCCCCACCTCAGGACTGCTTGCTATGTGAGACAATACATTTTCTTATTGTTTGACGAAGCGTGAGTAGGTGTTCTCTGTTGCTCATAGCCAAAGGCCTTCTGTGGAAAAATGGAACTATCCATCCAAAGACAACATCAACTGCAAAAAAAGAGAGCAAACGCTGGTTCCCCATGAACACAGAGGGTTTGACAGGAAGGGATTCAGCCAGTTCTTTCAGCACTACAGATGTGCACAAAGAAGGCTCAGCCTACTTTAGGAAAAACATCAAAGCATTGCTCTCTGCCTGCCTATGACTCCCAAGAAGTATCTAGGAGCACTGCCAACTCCTCCATCCCAAGGCTGAGTTTAGAATCAGGTGGTAGGTCCCTGACACGATGTCTCTTCCAGGATATACAAAGGTGCATCTGCACAAAGTACCTTCCTACTCATACTTGTAATTCCACTTTTAGTAATCACTGCTGTGGGCTAAGCAATACCTCTCTCTGGAGTCCCCTTCTAAAATTCAAATGCTCCTAGGAAAGGTAACAACTTGAGTCCTGAAGTTGCAATGTGAATGAGCGGGTCAGACAGTTGTTAGATTATGAGTACCTTGTTCCCAAGGGGAATAGGGAGCCCGAGAAGGGGGAGGTATGAGAGAGGCAAGAGGGGTGCACTCAGGGCTCCCCAGTCCACAGAAGCCCTACCTTATTCTTGTGCTTACCCTGACTGGCCACCCCTATGTATTTCCTGAGGGGATCAGTTCAATGTGCAACCTTCCAAAAATCCCATCATTCGGTCAATCTGAAAGCACCCAAAGCAGGCAGAACAAAGCAATACAAGAATGTGAGGAGCTCTGAATCGTAGTCCCAGAATAGTCCCTCCTGACCCATAGACATGATGAAGGGACCCTGCTACTGCATGTCTTCTCTTATTATAATTATTTAGCTGTCGTTCTCCCATAGACCTGAAGGTTCACAAGCACTGGGACCACGTCTGGCAAGCTGGAAGAGTTCAGTAAGTGTTGACCAAATCACCGTATGAAATGTCTACCCTGGGTAGTTCTGGAATCTCAGGAATAGACTTCCCCTTTCTGGTATCAATTTCCCTATCTGTGTACAAGGGGGGAAATGAAATAATTAGACCAGATGGCCTCTGTGAGGCCTTCTGACCCAAAAACTCCAAGAACTCACCACTGAAGGTACATCCATCAGGGTCCTATCAGAACATCTCAAATCACACTAGGGATGTTAAATGCCAGCTGCTGTCACATCAACCCCAACTCAGAGACACTCATGTGTATGAGAGTAGAACTATGCTCCACAGGGTTTTCAGTGGCTGATTTTTTGGAAGTAGATCTTCCAAGGTGCCTCTCTGCATAGACTCAAGCCTCCAAGCTTTCAGATAGCAGCCAAGTATTTCAACTGTTTGTACTAGCCAGCGAGGGACTCCTGGGATGTGAAATAGAGGTTAACAAAAGAAACTGGTCACAGAGGTGTGAAAAGGCTGAGAGACTATTCTGACCCTCTTCCTAGTGTATTTTTAGACATTTAAGTGGGTGTCACCTCATGAGCTTCTGAACCCCATGTTCAGAGAGATACGTCCAATTCAGCATGGACCGACTCTCTTGTCCCCATGGTACCACAATGCCCTGTGGGCTGTCCTTGCTTACAGACTTTCAAAGGTAACGAGTCTCATGGACAGTAGTCAGTCACTGAGTTCCTCCAAGGCCTCTGAGGGGAGGGGAAGGTGTACACAGTGGCATAGTCAGGAGAAGGTGAACCATGTGCTCCTCCAGCAACCACCTTCCTTCAAACACCAGTGCCAGGTTTCTGCCCTCCTCTATGAGGAGGACCAAACTGCTGATTTGAGAAAACATGAATGGGATCAATAGAAGATGATCTCATGTATCATCTGATAAGTGAAGGCCAACATTCCTCCATGTGCTCCCATGCTGCTCCAGCTCACACCAAGACCCTGACCCGTCTGGCACCTAGGACAGTGGTACTCACCCACACTGCTGAGGGAACCGCTGCTCTCGGAGTCTGAGGGCATGATGGACAAGACACTGTAGGTGGAGCCTAGAGACAGAAGAGGAAAGCACTTGTTAGTTAACTCCAACAGGGTCACTCGTCTATCCTCAGCCAAGGCTGGGCTGTGGGAACCAGCACCGCACCACGGATAGAAATATAGACTCAAGGGCCTGGCAAAGATGATGCAGGCAGCAGGATCTGGTCTTGGTGTTTCTGCTTGGCCCTCAGCCTCTTCTTTTCACCACACTCCTGCTCTGGAGGACTGATGACCAGGCAGAAGGGAGTTTGGAACCAGGCAGCTATCTCCTGGTGTGAGTCTGGGGAAAGGCTTTGCCAGTGAGCAACATGCCCCAGGACAGAATGTGGCCTGGGAATTTCCTACAGATTTTTATGTCTTATTCTGGCTTCCAAGCAGAGGGTAACAGAGCATAGATGACACAGCAACAGAACGATTTGTTCTCTGTGCCTGACTGTCCTGCTTTTGTGTCCTAACTGTACTCAAGCTCAGGTCTTAGTAATTTAGCCAGTGTCTGCCCTTTTATTAAAGTTGCTCATAAAATTATAAGCAATTACACTGTCACAAAACCAGGGAGTAATGTGTATTTTTTTTTCTTCTTCTTCTTTTTGGTCAACACGATGTTGTTAACTCCTGACCTGTGGACACACAACCACTACAATTTGGTTTGAATTCAAGTATTTCCAAAGCCAGGACATTACCCACCTGGCATCCAAGAAAAACCTCAGCATCAGGAAGGCCAGTTTCTGAACTCAGCTCTGTCCATATATGAGTTGCTGGGTCCTGCTGAGCAAGTCCTTTCAGTGTTCTGGACTCTGTTTCCTGGTTTACATAATAAAGGGGTTCAACCAGATGAGCTATGAGGCTCTTTCCCTGTCCAACATCAGTGCTTACATTTTCCACTGATTAGTGTTTTTAGAAACAGAGGTGTGCTTTTGCCTGTCAAGACTACAGGTGACACAAAATTAAGAGGGAAGCCAAATCAACTAGAGATTAAATTGGGAGTTGGAAAAAAGCACAGCATGCAGCAACCATGGGTCAAAACCACAAACAAAAGCCAGGTAATGGGAAAAATGTATTGTTTTGTACTTAGAACCAAAAGAACTAGAAGATAAAGAAGAGGTGCATCTACCAGGCAGACCGGGTGAACCAAAGATGGGCTTTTTAGCAATAAAGCCTTCCAGCAAGCTTTAGGGCTTTGGGAACAGAAAGCTATCAAGAACTAATGAGAAGAGAAATGTAAGGGCCAAACTTAACGGGTTCTCTCCAATCTCAACTCTGGACACCCTCAGAAGGGAGATGAAGAGATGGGAAGGGAGCACAGGGAGGAACAGGGGGAGAGAACCTCAAAGGGAGGAGAAGCTAAGGGGAGGGGAAGATCAGCAGAAGATGGTCTTCTGGGGAAAAGGGGACAACGCAAGGGGGATAGGAGAGACCTTGGGGGCAGCCACGGGAGGGAAGGGAGGGCAGAGACAGAGCCTTGGTCTAAGATGTGCAGGTGAGCTGGTACTTGTGCCATCATAGAAAGAGATGACAGGGGAGAGAAAAAGGAAAACAAGAAAAAAGAACTCGGGTAACAGCAAGGTCTAGGACAGCGGCCAAAAATGGTTGGTGGCCTCATTATCGCATTTTCTGAGGCCTCACTGAAGAACCTGAGGGTGTTTAGCCTGGACTGAAGAGCGCTAGGGGCATGAGCAGATGATTTGTCTTCCAACAGCACTGTCAGAAGGGATTAAATTGGTTCTCTATGGCCTCTGCTGGGGCAGGAGACTACTTCAAAAGAACTTCCAGTAAAACCACTCAAGCAAAGACAGAATACCCCAGCATTCCTGGGCCCCCTGCCGCAGCCTGTAGGGCCCAAGACAGAGGGTGCGTCCCCTAACACACCCCATCATTCATCTGGAGTCTCTAAAGGGGCTGGTGACTCACGCTTCCTCCTGATGAAACCCGAACCTGGCTGAAAGGACTTGGTTCCAGCCTTGACCCAAAATACAGAGCTTTCCCTTTACTCCAGAAGTCAGCTTGCTGGCCTTTCTGACCAGAGAATCACTGGGCAGACATGCCCCCTCCTGCTCCCCAGCATCTGGGAAGAGGAAGGGAAGAGAAAGCTACTCTCCCCAGGGCTGTGAAGACAGAGGTACCCCTGGCCCCCAGGGACACTCACCACCAGGGCACCTGCCTATCTCTACCCTCTCCCAGCTCATACCTTGAGTTCCCACCCAATATTCAGGATGACTCTGGTGCCCAAATCACTGTTGGCCCCATATGTGTCCATCAGGCTCCTGACAGGTGCCTGGAGCCCTGTAAGGCACTGGGCCAGCTCTGGTAGAAAAGAGACAAGCCAGGGCCTGTGACATTTTGGGGAAGTCCCCTCCCCTCTCTGAGCCTGTACAATGAGGCAGAGCATTGTAGTTACCAAAGCAAGAATGCTGGAGCCAGCCTGCCTGTGCTCAACTCCCAACTCTGCCAGTTACTGGCTGAGTGCCCTCAGGTAAATCACTTAGCCTCTCTGAGGCCCTGTTTGCTTTTCTGTACCATGGGTTAAGAGTAGAGCCTACCTCATAGAGATGCTGTGAGGATCAGCTGAGTTAATATAGCATAGCCAGTGCTCAAAGTGTGGGCTCCTGTCATTATCGTCAAACCAGACCAATGCTGAGGGCCCCTCCACCTCTGCCATTCTTGATCCTTTGATTACCTATGTGGAAAGCTGCACTAGAGCGACAAGGTCAAACAATCCACGAGTGACATGAATAATAATAACAGCTAGTATTTATTGGACACTATTAAAATGTACCAGGACTGTTGACAAGCACTTTGCAAGCACTGTCTCATTTAATTCCCATAACAACCCTGAGATTGTCATTAGGCCCATTTTACAGAGGAGGAAATTGAAGATTGAGTAACTTGCTTAAGGTCATGGTAGAGCTAATAAAGCCTAAACAAGATACTAACCCAGGCAGTCCACCCCAGAGCATGTGTTCTTAACTTTTATACTCAAGCCTGCTGCCTGGCTCTAAAGCTGCAAAAGCAGTCAGGGAGACTTCATGGAGGAAGGGCCTGGAGCAGACCTGGAGGACAGTGCGCCTGGAGAAGCACAGGAGAAGCCAGATCAGCTGTCACGGAGGCAACAGGTAAAACCCGGCCCACTGTGCACATGAGAAGGAGCAGGACAGGGCTGGCTTCCCCCAGGGCTGACCAGCTCTGTGGGTGGGCATAAATCCTCCCTGCCCTCCTTTTCACAGCAATTCTGAGCTGAGACAGAAATCGAGACTGAAAATGAGAATAAAGAGAGGGGGATGAGCCATTGGTTTGGTGGCCTCTGACTTGCTCTGTCCTCTCTTGCCCACCCCAACCCCATGCCTGTATGGGGTACAGAAGCAGGTCCCAGAACGCAAGCCAAACCCTCACTAGAGAATCTCTCAATTTCATGAGCTGCAGAAATGAGGAGGTGAGAGGGTGGAAAACTGCATGCATTGGTCACCCTAGCTTCTCCACCTCCCTGCTTCTGAGGACCTCTGAGACACTGGAAGGGTGAGCTCCTTTGGCTGATAAAAAGCCCACTGCTAGTGGGATTGAAAAATGGAGCCGCTGTCATGGAAACAGTTTAGTGATTCCTCAAAAAGTTAACCGTAGAACTACCGTTATTTAAAAAAATTAAAAAAAAAAAAACCACTGTCATTGACTCAATTACAACTCATAGAAACCCTGCAGAGTAGAACTACCCCAGAAGATTGATTATAAATCTTTACAGAAGCAGACTGCCTCATCTTTTGCCCCGTGGAGCAGCTGGTTGGTTCGAATTACAAACCTTATGGTTAGCAGCCAAATGCTTTAGCCAGTGCACCACCAGAGCTCCTTCTTGTTGTTAGGTGCCCTCAAGTCAGTTTTGACTATGTTGTTGTTGTTGTTGTTATGTGCCGTCGAGTCGGCCCTGACTCATAGCGACCCCTCCTTGGGTTTCCGAGGCAGTATCACTACGGAAGTA